AACTCTTGAAAGGTTCAGAAAAATACTCAATGAGACCTAACAAATCTATAGCAAGCAAGAAATAGAGGAAGCTTCTTCAATCTGATAAGGTATACTTATTGCAAGCCAGCAACAAACACACGCTTAATAGCGCACTGCCTTTATAATTAGGAAATAGCCAGGGATTCTGTCACCATCCCTCCTTCAAACTGAACTGGGTACCTTTGCCAATACAATAAGAGAAGAAAAAAAATATATAAAATTGCAATGGAAGAAAAAATACTGTTACTATTCACAGAATATATAATTGTCAGCATAGCAGAGAAGACACATAATTAAATTGATAACAAAGTTTAGCAAAGCAATGAGATAGCTGTAAGATCAATATATGAAATTCTCCATAATCATACAGAATTTAAAATGTGCATAATGTATAACCTAGGACTTCAACTTCTAAGTAACTCCCCTAGAAAATGTTCCACAAATATGAACAGGGGATACTTAAAGAATATTCAAAGATCTGTCTATCAGTAGGGGAACAGGTCAACTACGACATGCATAGAATGGAATACTACACAGCAATTAAAATGAATGAACTACATATCTACATGAATACATCTCAAAACACTTTGTCGCATGAGAAAAGCAAGTTAAAAAAGAGCAGGGGTATGACCTTGGGCATGTTAATTAACTTCTTTGTGACTTAATTTCCTTATTTGTAAAATTAATAGTAGCACCTGCCTTCTAAGGTTAATATGTACAATATGCTTTAGAGTAGTGCCTGACAGTAAATGTTTAATAAGTGTTCACTGTTATGAAATGATGATGATGACAATGATGATGACAATAACATTTATATACTTTGTAAATATAGAACAATTCTAAATGTTGTTTATGTAAATATGTAAACATAAACAACTATACATGTTGTTTATGGATGATATACATGAAAATTGCAAAATGGAAATTTCACAATAATTAATTCTAGAAAAGGAAGGAAGGAGAAATAAATAGAGTATGTATCTATATAGGTCTGTAATATTTTATTTTTGGTTTTGGTTTCTTTTTCTTCCAAGTTTTTATTTAAATTCCAGTTAGTTAACATACAGTGTACTGTTACTTGCAGGTGTAGGATTTAGTGATTCATCACTTACATACAATACCCAGTGCTCATCATAAGTGCCCTCCTTAATACCCATCACCCATTTAACCCATCCCTCTTCCCACCTACCTCCCTCCCTATTTATTTTTTAATATGAGATCTGAAGTCAATATAGCAAAAAGTTAAGATATTTAAGTCTCAGTGGTGGATGTGTGTTGTTTGGTTATATCGTTTTCTGTATTTTTATATATTTGAAATATTTCATAAAAAAAAATCAAAGGCAAGTAATAAATAAGATACTTCAAGATGTTAACAGTAATATGTCTGGGTTGTTGGATGGTGAATGTTTTTTGTTTGCTTGAATAGCTTTTCTTAATTTTCCAAATGTTCTAAATGAGAATGCATTTCTTTTATAATTAGACCCAAAGAAAAAGAGTTTTTTTAAAGCAAAGATAAAAATCCTTTTAATACTGAAGTCACCAGAGATCTGTTTCAACTAGATTAATCTTCACGTAGATGTCCTCTAATACAGACCAAATCTCTATATATTAAAAACTGCGTAACTTTAATAGCATATTTGATTTACTACATCAAAATGTATACTTTACAAAATAAATATCCTTCTTTTGCCTTTAGTCCTTAAAGTTATAATTCACAAATAATTTATGGATGTTTGTCACCATCTTTATTATCATGATATGTCATTCCCTATAAATTTCACATTCCTGACAAAATGGTGGAAAGGGTACAGAAGATCTCTGAATGTATTTCTTAGAAAACTCACATTAATGACAACACTATAGATCTTCCCTAACCTCCTCAACTTGCTGTTTCATGTCTAAAAGCCCATCTAATCTAAAAATACAACTGATCTGCAGAGACCTTATAATTTATCTTTTTCCATGATTACAATTTCTAATCTAACCAGCAGCAGTTCAAATTGAACTCTGATCCAAATGATCAATAGCCACGTGTGACCCATTAGATGTGCGAATATTAAATCGTTTTTGGATAAGCGCTGTCCAAATGAAAAGCATATAATTACCATCTATTAACATATATGGAAGCCAATAACACAAAAATGCATAATGTGTAACACACAACCTATCAGAATTCCCTTCAATGACTATGTTAAGGTTAGATCTTATATTTTACCTATGGATTAATACCAAATTATGATTTATGCCTTCAAGTGTTTATTATTAATAATATTGACCTAGGCTACACAATGGGTAAATTTGTAAATAAAATAAATTTAATTTCTTATTCCATCCTTTTTTGTATGTGTGTGCTTCCTTAACATAAAAGTTTCACTACCTACTGTAGGAAGTAGCCATGTCCAATAAATAAAAGGATAATTAAAGTAGTTTGGTAAGAAAATAATTCCAACATATAGCTTACTTTTCATTTTTTCCCTGCAAAGAAAAAGCTTATACAGTTGTAGAAGTATATAATTATATAAAGAATAGAACTTACAGAAAAATGAGTCCAATCATCTGCCCTCAGTGTCAGAAAGAATAGCAATGAAGTTCTCTAAACATCCTATATTTAACAATGCAGTCTTGGGGAGCCTGGGTGGCGCAGTCGGTTAAGCGTCCGACTTCAGCCAGGTCACGATCTCGCGGTCCGTGAGTTCGAGCCCCGCGTCGGGCTCTGGGCTGATGGCTCAGAGCCTGGAGTCTGTTTCCGATTCTGTGTCTCCCTCTCTCTCTGCCCCTCCCCCGTTCATGCTCTGTCTCTCTCTGTCCCAAAAAAATAAATAAACGTTGAAAAAAAAAAAAACCAACAAAAAAAAAACAATGCAGTCTTTGGAAATTTTTCTTTATGAAAACCTAAACACCTAGGTTTACCTAGACAAGTAACTTTTATGGTCTATTTCCCAGTCTCCTTTGAGGCTAGTTCAAGGCTTTGTGACTGCACCCAGGACAATTGGATATAAGATAATGGTAGCCTACTTCCAAATCTCTTTTTCAAAACATCTAATGGATCTTCTAGGCATCTCACTGATGGGATAAGATCACATGGTCCAAATGCTGTAGCTGTAAGATGCAAGAGTTATCACCCAGCTACATGGATTTTGCACAAGCCAAAAATAAATTTTTATTATAGGAAGCCTCTCAAGTTTCTGTGTGCCTGTGACTACATCATAGCCTACCCTATTCAGGTTCATTTCAGGTATGAGCATAATGAGAAAAATTTTCCAACAGTCACTCCCACTTCCATCCCTTCCTCACCTCCCTGGCTCAGGCCCTGCTTCTCATCCAACAGTGCTTAATTCAGGGTCAGCAGCCTGTCCTCCTGGTCCCTAGATTTCTTTTTCTCCAACCCCACTTACAGATTTAGCCCCTAGACCTCCCTCATTTGTATTTGTATATTTCTGTTTTCTCAGGATCCTAAATTTTAATTCTCAAACCCCATTATCTCTCTTGTTCCAAAAATAGGTTTGAACAAGCTGCTCTTTACATGTCTGTGCATCTTTGCATGGAAGGGATAATTCCCTCTTCCCGTGCTCTGGATATACAGAAGCCATCTTATGGGACAAATTATGTGTCTGTTTTTAAACAAGGCAGGACCAGAGGGGCAGAGAAGTCAGGTCTTCTACTTCAGGAGATTTCAGTCTTATTGAAAAAAAGCGTATGAAGCTCTTTTTTCTGATCTTTTTGGGGCAGGGCTAAGACTCTTATCTAAAGTCACTGTCTTTGCTTCTCCTATGATTGTTTCAGTGGTGAAGGTATTTCCAACAAAGCCTATTAAAAACATAGGGGAATCTACATAACTCACCCTCCAGTCCCAGTTTTAGTGCTTTAACCTTGAGTGATTGCTCGAAGAGATCTCCCCATTTCCTTTGCATCAGGACTCCTTTCACTAACCTTTCACTAAGTGATCATTTGATGAGATTTCCCCCACTTTCTCTGCAGGATGACTCCACTTTTTTCCCCCCTATCTTTTTACACAGGAACCATTTCAACAAACCTGCCATATAGAGCTAAAGTCTTTCAAGCAAGATAAAGATTAGCCTGACCTTTCTTACATCAATTAATCAATATGGTTACACCACAGATTTACCTTTTAACCTTGGTGTTTCCACAGTGCAATATTAAAGCACGATTTGTGAGGTTGCTCCGTTTTATATATGGTTAAGAACAACCCTCTGTCTATGTGCTTTGATAAAGTGTCAGCATCACGCAACACAGGAGCAAAAGGAGGCTTTTATTGTCTTCATCAAAAACGGCTCTGTAAATCTAAGATTGAAGCAGCAATACCAGCAAAGCCGGCTGACTGAAATTAACTGCTGGGCTCTGTTTGCAGATTCACGCTGTTGGAAAGGCCGTTGTTTGGGAATGCTCTGAAGGGTTGAATCATTTGATCTGAATTTCAGATACGAATGTGTCATCGTTGCCAGTGTCAATAACCTCTTCTCCATTGTTGAAGCTTATCCCCAAGACAAACAAGAAGGGTTTGCTCTACCCTATCCTGAACCGCCAATTGCCACTCTCCTTTCTGCCTTAATCTGTATCACAGGTGAAAAATTTAGAGAAGGCAAAAATGCTGGCATATCTCTGAATACTGGTCAAGTCCCTTCACTGAATCCATTTAATGGCAGAAAAAACTACAGTTAAGTCCTCCACAGGGTCTTTATAGATAGAAAGATTTCCCCACCAAACCACAATGTGTTTAAACCGTTTATCTCAGAAAAGAATTACAGAACCTCTTTTTGAAAATGTTGTCCGGCCCTTATGCTTCACAAACGAGGAAACCGAGCCCCAGAAAACGACAGGTTCAGACCCAATATCTATAGATACTTAGTGGTAGACTTACCTTAGAAATCAGTCCAGTTTCTCCCCCGAATGCCTCGCTGAGACATTAGTTCTTAAGAATGCATTTAATTCTGTGATGATACTTGCAAACTTACCACTTCCTCAGAAGCCAGTAAAACTTCATGTTGAGGCTGGACATTTTCTTGGCGTTTGCTTGGCAGTGCTCCATTTTTACCAGTCCATCTAGATGTACCATCTTGAATCAGAAGAAAATTCACATTACAGCTCTGCCACTTACTAGTTGTGTGACCTCTGCCTTATCACTATCTTAAAAAAAAAAAATAACCACCTCATGGGGCTCTTTGGAAGGTTGAAAAAATTAATTCACATAAAGCGCTTAAAAACAGTATCTGGCACATAATAAGTATCATATAAATGTTAGCTCTTATTGCTTCCATTCTTAGATTCTTCAGTGAATCTGGGGCATCACTATAGATTTATGATATTTTTTCCTTCATGAATCCTAAGTGTTTTATAATTCTTGACTCTTTTACTCTTAAAAACTGAGAACAAACTGAGGGTTGATGGGGGTTGGGAGGGAGGGGAGGGTGGGTGATGGGTATTGAGAAGGGCACCTTTTGGGATGAGCACTGGGTGTTGTATGGAAACCAATGTGACAATAAATTTCATATATTGAAAAAAATAAAAATAAAAATAAAAATAATAAAAAAAATATTTTCAGCCTATTGAGAGTCACACAATAAAATATACATAGGGTTGTTTTTTGCAAGTGTATGTTGTCATAAAAAAATATCAAACAACAGTTCACATTAAATGAGAGCCTACCGGGGATATTCAGAGTTTTCCCCAACAGTAGCCATGATTTGCTCCTTTTTAAAAAGATCTTTTGTTTTTATTTGTTCTACTGAATATGTCTAAATTAAATCTAGTGCTTTGCATGTAAAAAAAAATAATTCTTGACTCTTTTACAGTGAATATATTGTAGAGTTCCTCAAGTTCATTTTGAACATTCACACAGGAGGCATTTGGAAGAGGTGCCATTTTTTTTGTGTATTGAAAACAAAAACAAACCACCAACACCCATCATTGCACTCACATTCTGCTTCTTTTTGGGTGATTTACAAAGACTTAAGCTATCTCACTCCCAGAACATGCTGCCAGAAGTTGTTGAATGAATTTCACTTCACGGTCAACCTTTAAAGTATGCAAAGCACCACAGAATGCCAAGATCAAGTTCCCTGTGATCAGTGCACGAAGTGAACTTTACTATGGATTCTGTGATGTTCCCAAAGGCAATTTAATCATCCCCTTTAATAACACAGCAATACCTTTCTCTGGAAACTGATTTGACCGATCATTAAAGTATGTCTGGTTTAGTCAAGGAACACTCTTAGATAATGTGACATCGCAGGCTCTAATCACAGATTTGACTATCTTTGTTTTTCTTACATTTAACTAAATGAAACTTCTTATTTTAAGGGGGTCTTTTTAAACATTATGTGCCACCACTTAATAAGGTACTGTTGATTCAAATATAAATTCATTTTTGATACGAAATTTGAAATTATATGATAGTTTAAATAATATAGAGGAAGGGTAAAATTATGTGGAAAATCAGATGGAGCCAAACATAGTTTAGACTTGCTCAGTTTCCAAACTGAGGATAATTGTTTAAGGAATTAGCAGATCCTAAAGATATTATCTTCTTAGTGATGCCTGGATGCCATTATTTTTCAGCAACTAGTGGGATGTGTGTGTGTGTGTGTGTGTGTGTGTGTGTGTGCGTGAGTGCGTGTGTGTGTGTGTGTGTGTGTGTTTGCGTGTAAATGGTGTAACCCAGACTCCATAGCATAAATAATCAGTTTTCCAAACTGGTCTAAAGTATATGAGAAGACAATACAATATGAAACCAGTGCTTTTCTTTATAGGAAAATATGGTAAGAATTTTACTCAAAACAAAGCAATGCTGTATATTGTTTAGGGAGTTTGTTTTTGTTTTTGCTTTTTTAAATAGGGACATGCACTCAAAAAAGATAAGGCTACCAATTCTGTTCAATATTCCCCACAACAAACCTATCAGACATATTTTTGCATAGTTTTCTCACTGAGGCCCAAGGAGACGTTGGCATTACAACCTGACTACTCTGGCACTGATCACAGAGGGAGAAATACTGAATGAGAATGAAGTTCAAGCTAGACACAAAAGTTAGGTGACAGCAAGGCTTAGCTGCCATAACGTTTTCCTTTCCTCTGTTTTGAGAATCTACCTAGAGGACTGTTTGTCATTCCCAGTTAGGACTAGGTTATCTTAGCAGATGTGTTCTGAAAACAATGAGCTTGAGGTTTAAAAATAAAATTCAAGGATGATCTTAATAAGGTTATATAATGTTAATCCATGGGTTTCTGCCAACCAGTGTCTCAAATGCCTCTTTGGGGATTTATTCTGTTTTAGAAGAATGGAGAATATAAATATTTAAGTATGTGGAGACTTTTGTCATTGACCTAAGGAAGTTTACATTCTGTTTAGATAGTATTCTTAGAAATGTTATTATTTTATAGAATGGATAGACACAGGAATGCAAAGAAAAGCAATAAAGTCACTTTTTTAGGGGTATAATGGAGTTCTCAAAGATTAAAAGGCATGATAACCTTTAGTGTAGGAATGTGAAAACGGGCATTTTCATACACTGCTAGAGGGAATGTAAACTGCTCCTTTCTTTAAGGGAGGGAATTTGACAATATACATTAAGAACCAGAGAATGTATAAACACTAACTCATATGTTTTACTCTTAGGGAATTATCCTAAGGATATAATTGGCCAAAGGCACAAAGGTATATATGCAAGAGTCAATAGTTCATGAAAGTAAAAATTCAGAAACAATGTAAATATCCAATAATAAGGATTATTTTAATCAGGTACCTATGCCGCTGATAGAAATGATTATGTAGACATACATTTACCAATTTGGAAAGACATTTTTGAGTGATAATTAATTAAAAATAGCACATTATAAACCAAACTTTAATCAGAAGGAAAAAACAGTACATGGATAGGGATGAATTGAAGTTATGCACCAAAATGTTACCTGTGATTGTCTTTGAACATTGAGCATTCAGGAAATCTATATTTATTTATATTTATTAATGCTTTCATAATTAATATATATTAATTGAGTATACATTTTTTTAATTAAAATGGGATATGTTTTTGAAGGGAAGTGATGGCATTTGGAGATATAATGATGTCATCACATTTACTTTAATTTAGCGAAACGAAAATACTGTTTCATTCCATCTGATTTGTACGTCATTGTTATGAAGTTTTTAAAACAAAGTCTCTACCGTGAAGAAGATGTAACTACAGAGAAGAGGAAAGGGGGATGGAGAGAAGAGAGAAAGAGGGAATGATTTAATTTAACGCAATGGGGCTTTGCAGCCTTGAAACCGTCAAGTCTAAGTTGAACTCCTGGCTATTATTCTTGGGTTTGTTTAAACTTGTAAGAAGCACTTTACTCCCTTAAGTTTCAAGATTTTTATCTATCAATTGAAAGTCATAATATTATTCACAGGATTGTTACGAGATTAAGTAAGAGACATAAGTCAAAGGTATGCAATAAATGCCTACAGCGAACAGGTAACATGTACTAGACACAGAGCTAGACGCTTTGTGTACATTACCACATTTGATTGTCACAACAACCCTATCACACAGACATTTTATCTGCATTTTTCAGGTGAGAATACAGATTTACAGAAAATTTAAATAACTTGCTCAAAGCCAGAGGGCTGGAAAGCAGCAGGTGCGGACTAGCATGAAACTGTCCAAAATGAATGCTCCATATTAGATAGTGACAAACCAAGTCTTCAGTTCCTCCATGTCTCCCTCTTTTCTTCCCTCCACAAAAGGGAAAAGCAGGTCACTTAAACTCAAATTGTTTTCTGAAAAATGTTGACTTGTTCAAAGCCTCCATCAAACTCATTTCACTCTACAAACTAGTCTTGAAAACAGTCAGGTCCAGAGGAAAGATAGCTGAAATACTATATATGCTACTTCCTATATATTCTGACATAAATGTCCCCCTCTAAAAATGCATTTTTCTGTATTGTTTTTCATTGCAAATTTAATCTGATCCTAATACCCACACACCTACTATAATTCCCGACAAAAGTCTCTAATACCATCAAAAAGGATAACTTTCTGATTTTCCTTGTGTTTTCTTTTTTAACTCAACCTGTACTGTATTATAATAGGATATTTTTTATCTCAAATCTGTTTGGAAATAATGATACTTCGAGAATATAGAACTCTTAACTCCAAAATAGCATGACTTAAAAATAACAAACTTGATTCAGACCCCAAATATTCTGTCTGTAGTCTATCATTTTTTCTTTCTTTATAAATGGTATATAAATATGTGTAAGCTTAATCATAATTCAGTCTTTCAAAGGGGTTATTATACATCAGACCAATGACCAAGAACAACCACGACCAGGATATACCATGAAATATGACTGTGACACTACTGTGATGGTACATTCAGATAAAAGCCACTGCATTAGAATTATAAGAATTCACCAGGTTAACATGGTGCCATCAAACAACTCTTCCCACCTAGAAAACCCACCATCACATGAACCACAGAAATGTGTGTTGTTAGTAAAAAGATCAATTAAGGGGCACCCGGGTGGCTCAGTTGGTTAAGCGGCCGACTTCAGCTCAGATCATGATTTCCCTGTCCGTGAGTTCGAGCCCCGCATCGGGCTCTGTGCTGACAGCTCAGAGCCTGAAGCCTGTTTCAGATTCTGTGTCTCCCTCTCTCTGACCCTCCCCCACTCATGCTCTGTCTCTCTCTGTCTCAAAAATAAATAAATGTTAAAAAACGTGTTTTTTTCAATAAAAAAAAGATCAATTAAAATCCTTTTAGGACACTGTGCATTAGGTGTTTCTGATATTTAAGCTTCTGGAGAAATGCATTCCATTCTTTTCCAATTACTTTACTTACACTCTTCATGCCACCTATAAGCCTTCTGCAACAACCCCTTACAATTTCTGCTTGTCAAAATCACCACTCATCCTCTTTGCACATGGCATTTCTTTCATGGAGAGCTTGTGGTGAGCTATTGCCTAGTGAACCAGATTTCTTCCTCCTCTGCACTTCAGTGTAGCAGCTTTTATCTCTTATGTCACTTGTCATATTCTACAGGTCCACCCTATGGGTCCACCATCCCTTAGC